AGGACTGGATACCTTCCATAAAAAAATTCCCACAAGGATTATAGTTTCAATTTGACTAAAAACGAAATGAATCCTCCTGTAAAGCAACCCTCTTGTTACCATATTTAGTGTCTTAATGTCAACTCATGCAACACATGAACACAACACAAATGACTGTCCTAACCTTTTATGTGTATGAATCGTTTAAGTGTCACCATTCGCCGTCCTCCAATCCTGTAATCTGCCAAGGGGTACTGGTCTACCAAGGCGCCAAGTTGAATGAGAGAGACTTGTGACGTGGGACATAACTCAAATGCCCTAAAATGCTCCCTATACCAAGCACTCAGCTCTTTAACAATAAAGCTCAAGCTCTGTTCCACAACAACCATCTGGATAACTTCTGCAAACTCTGGCAAGCCACCAGCAGAGCCATGAGCAATAACCATACCCTCCCTGTAGTTCACTCCATTAACAGATGCATTCTTTGTGAGCTGAATGTGAGCAATATCAGGGTCTCTCAGCTGTAGGACCTTCTGTACATCCTGATGCAAAATATCAACAGAGACCGTTGAAACAGCTGAGACAGTCAGGCTAGACTTTTCGGTTGTGGCTGACTCCAAATGATATGCCATCATGAACTGATGCTTCACCGCCAGGGACAAGAGTATGTTTTTAAAGCAGCGTGTGTGGCGGACTACCTGCTTAAAAAAACTGTGTTTCGCCTCAAACCTCATTGTCCACATCCCAACTAGTGGGCCAAAAGACCGGATCATCTGTGGATAATGTTCCACAAAATGATGTTTGGGCAAGATCTTTATACCCGGAAACACCTCTTGTAACCTATGTCTATGGTCACAAATCTTGGCTTCAAGGAAAGCAATGGATTGTGTCGTGTGCACTGGTGCAACAACTAGTTCGACGATATCTTTAAGGTCCAAAACGACCTGCCAGGCTGGCTCATCTGGGGGCACCAACTGTCCAACCAAAAATGGAAGCAATCGCAAAAGACTCCAATTTTCGTGAGCATTTCCTCCAATAGTTTTCTTCACCGTGAATGCCCTGGGAATAGCATGAGGACGGTTACTCTTGTCTGTCCACTTGTAAGGGAATTTCTTAATGGACTCATTGAGATTTTCAAGGGTGAAATATCTTTTGGAAATGAACAAATTGAGGCAGTGTGCCAACTCGACTGGTAATATGCCTTCAAAGATGTCATGTGCAATATCTGGAGGGTAGCCAGTACAGACATTGAAATGAGAAAGATGTGCAGAGAAAACACAACTTCTTTTAACACCATAACAATGTTTTTGATTTTCCTGTGCTGATCTGACATGCGTTTCATGCATCTCCTTGCTTCGGAGAGTAAATGCAGCTGAACTCACTTCCCTCTCCTGAATTTCAGACTTTTGTGCCACACAAAAACGGCAAATGTACCCACCTGAAAAACTCTCAAGAAATCCAGCTACTCCATGTGCTCCCAAATTGTCAGCTATGACACACTGTATTGTGCCCTTAACACAATCTCCAAGCTGTGCAATAAAAATACCTTGACTTTCCAAAATGACAAGATCCCTCAACAAGGGCTCTAGGACCCTTTCATAGCCATATGTTCGCACATCGTCAGACCTGCAGAGTAAGGCCAAATAAATAGAAGATAACGAAGAATGGCAACCTGGTGGTAAATTGCTGAGAGTCCAATAAACGCCACAGATCTTGTGCTTTTTACGAGATGTGCCAAGCGGATTACAAATCTCAAAGTCATCGACATACAAATTCAGTAACACTCGCAATTCACCTCCTGACAAAAAATGGTTATCCTTGAAAAACAAACCATCTCGAAAAGACTTGTATACCACTTCTTCTCCTCTATCCTCTGATATGAGTTGACTGTCTAATGCTTTGTTAAGAATGTGACCATCAGTGAAAAGCTGCTGCAAAAACTTTAATAGTGGAACATACTGTAGCGTTCTTTTATCTTTCTCATCCAAGATATATTCTATGGGTTCCACAACTTTAAAATTGTGTTTATAGTATTGCTTGCGTTTAAAGGATGTTGCCAAAGGACAACCTTTACCAATAGCCTTGTACACAGGATTAGATGTACACAGAGCAGATGCAAGTTCTTCAATGACCGACTGGTCAACTTGTAGATTGTAACTATTTAGTGTGTCATGGATCACATTTCTTGTACTACACAAAGATGCTGTGCTCAACAAATATTGAAATTCTTCCAGCAATTCATCAACTGCAGCACTTGGCACATGAAAAATATTTTCCAGCTTTAATAACACTGCCGCAATTTTTTGCTCTATTTCTGGCTGATCCTTCGACATATCTAAATCAACATCATCAAACTGACTTTCATCGCAAATGTCCTCATTGTTTGAAACACCAGGCTCTCCAGTTTCACCTACACAAGTTCCTTGTACAACACCGTCCTTAAAATCTACCAATGAATGCAAGCTGTGCTTCCATCTTTTGTGTGACTTGAAGGTGCTGTATATGTTGGATTTGTATGCACAGCCTTTAAACATACAAGTGACTGTCTCATTGTTTCTCAGATGATGGCTTATGTGCACAAAATAATCACGTTCTGTTCCGAGTTCACTACAGCCACATAGATGACAGGAAAATGTAGTAAATATGTCAGCAGAGGGCTTTGAGGTATTGGTGTGATTCCTTGACAAGTGTACCAAAAGAGTATTCCAAGCCTTAAAAATGCATGGACAATCAGGATATATACACTTAATATGATGGCCACGCCCAAAATGACTATGTTTTAGTCTGTAATGTTTGAGAATTTGTGATCGCTTAGACACTTCAGCGCCACAGTCTTTACACTGCCACATAAACTAGACAAACACCAAAGAGAGAAAAGGGGGGGGGGGGAATCAAACATTAGTGATGGTGTTTCACAGTCACCTTTGGGTCATGGTGATCTACAAATAATTTGGATCTCTAAGCAGAGTGAACTAAACGAAAATCCTAATAGTTTGCTCAAAACTTGAAGAGTAAGGAATTTGTTTGATAAATTGACTTACCAAAACAACATGAGGTCCCCAAAGAGTAAGGTTCTGTTCTACATCACACCAACATCAGATAGAAAAACCTGCAATAAAAATAAAGATGAGCAGAAATTAAAAATAATAATGGTAAATGAAAAAAGGTAATTGATTGCTAATGATTACTAACTTGTGTTAGGCCAATGACTCAAAATCCTACAAAATTCTTTGTGACAAACAATGTTACGTTTTTCTTTTTAAATAGAGCCTAAATATTACTGGATGTGGTGCACTTTTGCTAAATGTTTAGACAAATTGCCTGTGTTACCACCCTTACATGCTAAACTGTTATTGCACTTGATGGCACCTTTTAAAAAGGGAGAAGCTTTTCTTTCATTGTACATGTATAATGACATTAAATGATTATATTGTAACGTTCCACAATAGGAGTCGGAAACAGGCCACACACACACACACACACACACACACACACACACACACACACACACACACACACACACACACACACACACACACACACCACACACACACACACACACACACACACACACACACACACACACACACACACACACACACACACACACACACACACACACACACACACACACACACACACACACACACACACACACACACACACACACACACACACACACACACACACACACAACCACAGGCCCGCACGCCGACCAGCATTACTGTGCCGCTCTGTGATTGGCAGAGAGCCGGGGGATGCTTGAGTGACCCACACAGCACCCTATACCGGGTCGTTACAATATTCTATTCCATAGCCAAAACCTATCAATTATTTCTCACTTTTGGCAAAGAGTCCACCTCAAGACGGGTAACATTTAAACACACCTCGGAGCGCTTAGTTCTCTCTCCGCCGTGTGTTGAATGCATGTAGCAGCCGCCTGTGTGTAAACTGCCCCGCCCCCTCGCACACAGACGGGGCACGGGGGAGAGAAAGATCTCTCGTCTGGATTGGAAAGATCGAAAATACATCATAGACGCATTTTGTCTTATAGCATATTATATACGGTGTTGGCGAAACTAAGACTACCCCCCCTCCCCCCTAGTTCGGGGGGAAAGTACTCCGGTCCGGTGTGAAAGCGCTTATAAGACCAAGATATGAACTAGCCGCAGTAACATTAACCCCTTGCCGCCAGAGAGTAACGTTACCAAAAGCACCCTTACCAACGTGATTTCATATGTTTAGTTGTGTCCTAATATTACCACAGTGATAAGAATAAAATAAAACATACTTACAGTCGGTCAGGAAGACAGCATGGCCAGTATACAAGCTGGGCAGCGGGGAAGTTGAAGCTACAAAAAAAAAAAGCCATAGGAACAGGCAGTTTAACATTCAACTTGTATTAGCCAACAACTAATAATAAAGTCTAACAAGACAAAGATTGAATTTAACACGTATTTAACTTGAGAGCAGTATTAAGTTATCTTATAATGTTAATGATGCATGTTACACTTCATTTAAATTACTTAAACATTACTACACAACTAAGCTAGGCTAACAGTTAGCTAGCTGCTGTAGGCCTACGTTAACGTTTGCTAATGTTAATCTATCAAAAAGCTACCTATTTAAGTATAATATAATACACCCAATGCTATAAATTAGCTAGCCTACTTACTTAAAACGGAGAGCCGTGGAGAATGTTCACCTCACGACAGCGGAGCTATACACAGGCAGTCCTGTCCTTCCGATTCCGAATGGAAAATGGAGGGAAAAGTGGCGGTCTGCTTGTGTATGCACATGCGCAGACAGGACAGTATTATGTGGTAATTAAATGGTACATAATTTTTTCTAATTATTTTTAAATGAATGAAATGAACTTGTTTTAAACAGTGACAAAATATGTTAAGATTAATTAAAAAAGATAAGAAGGATGCTATAACACATTCAAATCTATTAAAAAAGGCTAGATTAAAACATGTAACATCTAAAAGGGGTCAGAATCAGTTTTTTCAGTGTGGTGACTTGAAGCCTGATACATGACTTGTTCATTTTCATTTGAAAAACATAAGCACCATCCCTCCTGAAGCAAAGTGTTTTGTTTTCTAATTCAAATGGAAGGAACCTTTGTCTGTCCTTTCATTCCCCCAACAGTCATTCACCCGATCGACTCAACACTTGCTGTGAAGTACAATAACATATTACTTCCTGAACTGACGGAAAACTTCTCTCTGATCATAACGAAGAAATCAAGTACATAATTAAAATATATTAAGTGAAACCTTTTTGTCGTATAAATGTTGTTTTCATGAAACAGGCGGTGAAACCTCATCCCACACTGCTACTGAGCCTGCAGCCTCTCCATTACCACCATCCACAATTGACTACAACTGTCTCATAGCTGCAAGCATTGGCATTCCATTATAAACCGCAAGTAATTTTAAGAGCCACTCCATGAACCATTTAAAGAGGTCCAGCCAAAACTGAGTAGTTGTCGTTTCGCTGACTCTTTCGGACCCTCCTGATAGCATTTGAACCCGTGTGGACCTCTCGGAGATGAAGTGCTTTCCGTTATTGGCTGTTACCATCTTATCCATTTTATCCAGAAGATGTTTAACCTGCACCCTGTTTCCTCTCTTTGTGTTGTCAAACACACTGTATCTACCTGCACACATGGTTACTAGGTCAGACACAGATCTCTCAGCCTTAATCAAATTCTTAATGGACTTGCCTTTCAGGCCATCCCCGTGAGTGAATAGGACCATCATGTGTTTACGAACACCTTTGCCAAAGAGTTTTGGCAGCATCTCAAACAACATAATTTCTGCTTCAGAGATCCTGTTTATTCTCAACACAATGATGAAGGCATGCGGCCCTGGATAAGCCTTTTCTACTGACATCACGATCTCCCTGAAAAGGTGTTCAGGATCTTTATCAGTGAATCCTGGAGTGTCCACCACTGTGACCTGACGACCCTCCACTGTGGCTGTTTTAGAAACAGCTTCTGTACTTACTCCTCTAAAGTCACAGCCTGATTTAAACTGAATGGATCCCAGGATGGTGTTTCCTGATGCACTTTTTCCCTGTCCAGGCAGACCGAGCAGCACCATCCTCCTCGGATCACCAGGAGGATCGGACACCACTAAAGGAAAGAAACAAAACGTTTTAGCACTTCAAAAGAAGCTAAAATATTTTTGCATTATTTCATTACTCACCGTCACTGAGGTGACCGGACTTCTCCAGCAGATGTCGGACTTGTTCCAGTCTTCCATTTTTATTGTTGAACACATGATATCTCCCTTTAAATCTTTCAACAAGTGTTGGAAGAGGACTCTCTGGATCGTCATTGATGAAATCATCCAACTGCTTGTCCTTAAGGGCATCCCCTGATGTGAAGAGCAGGTGACAGTTCTCAAACCCCTCACCGCCAATGACTCTGATCGCTGCCTCCACAGCGTTCTTCTGCTCATCAGTGAATCGATCTATTTTAACCACTATCAGGAACAAACAAGGTTCCTTGGACTTCAGGAGATCTTGACACAAGGTTGTAACCTCCTTCTCGGATCCTAATATTCCCGGAGTGTCAACCACTGTGATCCGTTTACAAAACACGCTGTCAGTTTCTTTAGAGACTTCTTTTGTCACTGAGGTGAAGGAACGTTTTGACACAAATGCTTTTCGTCCCAGGATGGTGTTTCCTGAAGCACTTTTGCCAACACCTGAGTTTCCCAGAAGGACGATGGTGAGACCTGAACTTGGACCTGAAGCCATTTTTGGTTGTTAGCCTGAAAGAAATGTAAGAGGGAATTATGGACAACAGTGTTTCTCTATAATTTCTCTCAGTTATTATGACTGTGAATATGGTCGGTGACATTACTAAAGAGAAGTCTGACAGTTCAGATGTTGAAACAAACATTACATTACATGTCATTTGTTCGACGCTTTTATCCGAAGCGACCTACATACATTCAGAACTGTGGTCAATCCCCAGTAATTTGAGGTGAAGTGTCTTGCCCAGGGACACAACGACATGCTGTACTGGGACTCAAACCAGCTCTCCCTGATCCGAAGATCAGCACACTATTCTACTGAGCCACAGCCTCCTTGACAAATCAACCTGTTGTACTTATTGTAGCCCTATGTTGGTCCTGTTAGCTCTGCTTTGAATGTGCTTTATGTAAATGAGCTGTGCGGTTGCCCTGATGTCCTTGGATTCTCATCTTCTGGCCCGCCCCCGAAGATTGTGATTGGAGCCTGTGTGATCTGCCTGTAGGGAGGGGCCGCCCTGACAATATGGCTCCTATTTCAAACAGGACCTATTTCAAACCGGTCTGATGGGTGTTTATATGATCTGCCACACCTTAATTTCTCCCAGATTAAACTAACCGATTTAATAAAATAACAGACATCTCTTATATTATAAAACAGTCTAGGGCAGGGCTTCTCAAACTTCTCAAAGATCCGGACCGAACTGCAAATCAATCCGGACCGGACCCTGTGTCCCATTATATATTTAAAAAAAAAAAGAAAAATCTGATTCTGATAAATTAATGTACATCATTATGTACGCGCGTCTTGTGTCTGACGCGTAGTGAGAATGAACGTGCATATATATTTACTTGTGTGCGCAAGCGTGACACTCATTGCAGACCGCAAGTTAACCGCAAGTTTACCTTGACTTTCTAATGCTTCTAATGCCTTTTTTGCCGAGGTTCAAGGCATTGACTACAGACAAACAGCCAAGCCATATGTATGTATTGAATGTGTGAGTGTATAAAGCGCGCCGTTTGCCGACAGGCAAGTGCTTGGACCAGAAGGGGCCCCCCAAAGAAGGTAGATTAAGAAGGTCCACAGCAACGACAACATGAAACAACACCCTTTCATTTACTGCAACGACATGTCGGGAAACCCCCTCAAGGGGACCCCATGCATAGCGCGCCATAAGAAAGTGCTTCTTAATTTCAGTTTCGTTCATGTTAAAGTCAACCAACCCTCAAGAAAGAAAAAACCTAATAAAACATATACAAATTATGGGAATCAAAATGTTTTATTTAAGCTAGAATTAAGAGTATTTTTGGATGTGTTCTTCAGACCAAAATCAACCTTTTTATTACAAAGGAAGAAGTTTTAAGTGTATGTAAATCGAATTGAATTAGGACATCAGGTGTCACATCAAATATTGGGTACCACTTTACAATAAGACAATCCTTATAAAGGGTTTACGAATAGTTTGTAATTCATTTATTAATTAGGTTGTGAACACTTTATAAATCATTAATAAGCTTTTATAAGACATGAGGTAAACAGGGCAACTGTGACCGGTTGCTTGCCAAATAGTGAGCCCGCATGTATCTGTACTGCTAAGCCTTATATTGGCTACCTAGCTTACTTCCTCTTCTTCATCAGCCAGCATCCTTGGTATCTGTTGTTCACTGAGTTGATTCTCGCTAAGTAGCCAATATAAGGCTTAGTCATCTTGCCAAATAGTGAGCCTGTGGTGATGTATGAAAACTATGTTAGATCTGGTTTATAAATGGTTCTTAATGATTAATAAAGTGTTTACAACCTAATTCATAACCTAATTATAAATCCTTTATAAGGGTAGTCTTATTGTAAAGTGGTACCAAATATTGTATAAAATCAATACGACACAATGGTACAAAAAACACTTTAAAAATGTAAAAACAATACAAAATGGCTGACCTGAGAGCAGAGGGTGTTGGTTGAGTCCTGAGGGAATAAAGGTATTTCCGTATACTTCCCATTAAATACACATTCAAGTCTTTCAAGTTTCACAGATTTAGTTGCACCACTTCCTGAAATCAGCTTCAAAATAAAATCCTTCGTTTGTCTTCAGATGTCAGGCTTGTGTAAGGTCCATCAGAAAGTGTTTCTTTAGTTTGTTTCAACAGGAGATCTCTGTGTTTACATCTGTGCTAACAGACCTTTGTTATTTTACATTGTTCTCTATATTTCTAAACAATGTTCTGTTGCTGCCGGATACTGATCTTATTTTTGCAGAGAGTCTTCCACACAGCTAAACGTGTTGACAGACTTTAAAAAGGAAAGCACCTGCGATGTGAACATCCACTAAGTTACATATATACGGATGATAGTTTAACCTTAACTCGAAGTCTTACATGTTATTAATATTTTAAAGCTAGTTCCTTCATTTAAGTGACTTAACAAAAGTACAAAGTTGTTGTAAGTTAAAGTGGTGTAAAGTAACTAAGTACATTTATTCAAGAACAGTACTGAAGTACAATTTTGAGGTACTTGTACTTTACTTGAGTATTTCCATTTGTTGCTAGTTTGTACTTCTACTCCACTACAGTTCAGAGGTAAATGGTGTACTTTGACTCCACTACTTGATGATGTGAAATATAATCAAGTGTTAAATCAGACTTTAGTTCCACCTGGAGTAAATTCACAAGCTACCCTGCAGTATACAAAGTCATTCAAACTAGCTGCACCTTTACCAGCTTTGAGAACACGTTAATGCATCAAAGTAATGCATGTTTCTGTGTGTTATGAAATGTGTTTTTCCTCTCAGCTCCATCGTCTGATGTTCAGCCTCCGTCACTCCAAAGAGGAGGGGAAAGGATTTGGACTGGGAGCAACAGGAGGAAGGGAGAAGAGTGAGAAGAGTGAGAAAGAAATAGTCACTTCTCCAAAGACAGACAAATGTAAGACACACACACACACACACACACACACACACACACACGTGCACACACACGTGCACACACACTCGCACACACACCATATAACTTGTAGTACTTCATCATCTTTTTTATATTTTACCCCACAACATCTTATCCATGCTAGATAATTACACACACACACACACACACACACACACACACACACACCACACACACACACACACACACACACACACACACCACACACACACACACACACACACACACACCACACACACACACACACACACACACACACACACACACACACACACACACACACACACACACACACTTGCTATGGCCCATGTATCGTTAACATGTATGTTTAGTATTCTTTGTAATTTGTATTTGTTGTCCCTTCAGTAGTAGGGGGGTCTCCCTGGCCCCAGAGGATCAACCTGAGGCCTCGGAGAAGCTCCCGGACATCAGCGAGGCCCCGGTGTGGAAGTACACTGTGGACGCTAACGCTCTCATTGTGATGGCTGAAGCAGTGTTTGTGTGGGGATACTATGCTTAGCTGATTCATTCTAGTGTTTGTTTTTATAATAATTAAAATGATAATACATTTAATTTTTATAGCGCTTTTCCTGGTGCTCAAACGCTTTACATAAAATCAGAAACAGAAACAGTACAAATATGTGATTAGGGGACATTATGTGATTACGTTTAACAACTCTGTTTGGATGATAATATAACAATGTCTTCCCCTGTTAATAATTACATGTCACTGCACTTCCAATCAAGGTTTCAAGGTTTTTATTTGTCATACGAACATAGCTACAGTGTAGTTATGACGATGAAAATATTAGGTCACAGGCTCCTCCAACAGTGCAACACAATAAAACAGATAAACAGAAAAAATATAGTGTAAGTAAATACAAAAAGAAAAATAGTTTAAAAAAGTGAAATAGTACAATAAGAGTCTAAATACCAGTTATTGGAATGATATATTAGATAAATAATATAGCAGCCAGATGAATGTTATGGATGTTGTTTCAACAGTTCAGGTGTTTAGCAGTCTTATTGCCTGTGGGATGAAACTGTCTCTGAATCTGGTGGTTTTAGTCCGGATGCTGCGGTACCGTCTGCCAGACGGCAGCAGACTGAACAGTTTGTGGCTGGGGTGATGGGGGTCTTTTATAATCCGGAGGGATTTCTTCCTGAGCCGCTGGGAGTAAAGGTCCTCCATGGATGGCAGCTCCGTCCTGGTGATGTTCTGTGCAGTTTTCACCACCCTCTGTAAAGCCTTACGATTGAGGGCGGTGCAGCTGCCGTACCAGGCCGTGATGCAGCCAGTCAGGATACTGTCTATGGAGATATCACAATCTGAAATAAATTAAATAAATAAACATGCAAGTATAACTACAGTCTCATTTCTCTTTAGAGCAAAGTTCAATACTTTATAAGTGCTGAAAAGTACTTTTTACCCTACATTTCTCTGGCAACTTTAGATAATGGTGTTTTTGTTAAGCAAGAAGTGAGTAGTATTTATTATTATAGTTTCAGCTACCCAGCATGATATCAAGTACAGTGCATCCGGAAAGTATTCATACCCCTTAACGTTTTTGACATTTTGTTATTTTACAGCCTTATTTCAAAATGGATTAAATTAATTTTTTTCTCAACATTCTAAACACAATACCCATTACTGACAAAGTGAAAACGTTTTTAAAGAAGTTTTTGCAAATGTGTTAAAAATGATACAATGAAATATCACATGTACATGAGGTCCAAGGAATTGTCTGTAGACCTCAGAGACAGGATTGTATCAAGGCACAGATCTGGGGAAGGGTACAGAAAAATGTCTGCAGCATTGAAGTTCCCAACGAGCACAGTGGTCTCCATTATTTGCAAATGGAAGATGTTTGAAACCACCAGGGCTCTTCCTGGAGCTGGCCGCCCAAACTGAACATGGGGGAGAAGGGCCTTGGTCAGAGAGGTGACCAAGAACCCGATGGTCACTCTGACAGAGGTCCAGTGTTCCTCTGTGGAGATGGGAGAACCTTCCAGATGGACAACCATCTGTGCAGCACTCCACCAATCAGGCCTTTTTGGAGTGGCCAGAAGGAAGCCAAAGGCACATGAAAGCCCCCATGGAGCACCTAGAGTGCTCTCAGACCATGAGAAACCAAATGGTCTGGTCTGATGAAACCAAATTTGGCCTGAATGCCGAACATCATGTCTGGAGGAAACCGGGCACCGCTCATCACCTGGACAACACCATCCCTACAGTGAAGCATGGTGGTGGCAGCATCATGCTGTGGGGATGTTTTTCAGCGGCAGGAACTTGGAGACTAGTCAGGATCAAGGGAAAGATTAATGCAGCAATTTACAGAGAGATCCTTGATGAAAACCTGCTCCAGAGCGCTCAGGACCTCAGACTGGGGCGAAGGTTCACCTTTCAACAGGACAACGACCCTAAGCACACAGCCACGATAACAAAGCAGTGGCTTCGGGACAAGTCTGTGAATGTCCTTGAGTGGCCCAGCCAGAGCCCAGACTTGAACCCGATTGAATATCTCTGGAGAGATCGGAAAATGGCTGTGCACCGACGCTCCCCATCTAATCTGATGGAGCTTGAGACAATCTGTAAAGAAGAATGGGAGAAACTGCCCAAAGATAGGTGTGCCAAGCTTGTAGCATCATACTAAAGAAGACTTGAGGCTGTAATTGCTGCCAAAGTTGCTTCAACAAAGTATTGAGTAAAGGGTGTGAATACTTATGTACATGTGATATGAGTGTTTTGATTTTTAATTAATTTACAAATATTCTTTTAAAACTTTGTTCACTTTTTCAATATGGGGAATTGTGTGTAGAATGTTGAGAAAATAAATGAATTTAATGCATTTTCAAATAAGGCTGTAACATAACAAAATGTGGATGAGGTTGGCTGTGTTGTCCCTGAGGTGTGTAAGAGGGTGTGTGGGACTGAGGTGGGCTGCTCCAACATCGCCTATCCCAAACTGGTGGTGTCCATCATGCCAAATGGTAAAAAACCATAACCATGACCACTTTAACTCCCTTGTTTGTGTGCATGTAATTGTACGCTACTTGTTGCCACTTGATTCGGCCCACACGGGTCCTGGGAGGGTGGGGTTTTTATTTTATTTATTTTTGTTTGTTTTGTAAGGGAACTGTTTGTATGTTCTTTCACGTGGTATGTACAGTATGTGTTTTGTACCATGTTTTTCTGTGTTGGAATATGAGGAAATGACCGAAGAGTGGCGAAGTCCCTCCCCTTCCGGTGGACCTCCATGGGACCTTATTTCGGAAAAATTATGTATTGAAGTCAATGGAGAGAGAAAGATTATCTTTCGATCCCGTTTGAATTGTGCCACGAATTACACATATGATGTTTGTCAATTGAAAAGATAATTTTGCAAGTAAAAAAAAAAAAAATGTGTCGTAAAACTGTGAAGTAACACTTTTGTTTGTGTGAAACGCTCAATGAACTACATCTCTGGTCAACAACACATGTCACCAAGATGGCCGTCACTACTGTCTTGTCAACAAAACGATTGACTACCCTCACTATCACCACAATGAAACACGTCCAGAAGAATGTCATGCAAAGCTGCCTGCCTGCCTTCCTTTGATTCTCTCTGAACTGCCTGGTCGTTTTAATGTTTAATGTCAACCATTTGTGCAGATAGCATGAAGTAGAGAAGATCGCCGATGCTAGCGTTAGCGTTAGCATTTCTCCCCCGGGCTTAAATTGTGTATTATAGAATGATCACACCGGTGACAGTACTATTCAAAGGGTTCACGAAATATGACTACTACTCTTACTGTTTAACATTTTGGGTTACTTAATGTTACTTCATGTTAAGGCTAATAAAAATGACAAAGATGTAATGCTAACTAACGTGCTAGCTACTAGCTAGCTTGATCCAGACACTCCTGGTCCTTTCATCAGACGGGAAGCGAAAGAACGAGCAAGACCCATTGCTGGTATGATAACAACCTGGTACTAAGCACACAGGCATCTTGTTAAAGTTATCTTATCTTAGCCAGCGCCATATAGATAGATTATATCTATATGGCGCTGATCTTAGCTATCTCTTAGTGGAGGAAAACAATTGTGACATCACTTACGCGACTCTGGGATTTGTAGTCTTTCTAGTTGCGTATTTTTCATAGTCTTATATTTCAACAGTTTTACGACAAACTGTGACTTTTTTTACATGGAAATGATTTTTTAAGATTGACAAACATCATATGTGTAATTCATGGCACAATTCAAACGGGATCGAAAGATACGTTTTCTCTCTCCATTGACTTCAATACATTATTTTTCCGAAATAAGGTCCCATGGACCGGAAGTAGATGGGCGTGACTTCGCCACTCTATGTATCTCCCAGCATACACGCGGTTTGATTGGCTAGCGCTTGTACTGTCAGATTTGCATAAACGGGATTTGATTGGCTGATGCTTCCACCTCAGCTTCAAAAGTTGAACATTGCTCAACTTTTGAATCCTGAGATGCCTGGAAATCTCCGCTCTGCTTCCCACAATGCAGTTCGGCGAAAAGTGAGGCAAAGTGACGTCACCCCATTCAAAGTGAATGGGCAGAAGCGTTGGAAGATTTTTTTAACGCTGCTGTGTGGACGGGCCGTAACTGATGCAGTTAGTCACTTCTTTAATGGTTGTTCTTTCTGATGTAAAGTCAAGGTTGTAACTGTTTGCAATGAAGTCGTGGGGCGCTGAACTGTTCCTTTGAATCTTTTGAATTTTGATACATGATAGTAATTACTTGACTTTCAAATTTGAAGGAGGGTGAGCAAGCATCTTGAGGAACATTCATCATTAACTCCTCCACAAAATATAGTTTATTCAATAATAAATGAATATGTGAATCATAACAGTGATTGACAGCTGATAGGAATAATATGATTGTAAATAGTATCATATTCAATTAATGTACTTATTGCAGCAGTCTGCATATATTTGGTACCCCTGCTGGAGTGAGACAAACTCATTCAGTTATTGTTCAGTTCAAATTCATTAAATGATGTCTGCCACCTTATATATTTATATTTAAGGCTTTACTGATGTGCCACAATAATGTCACCAAATGTTATTGAGTTAAAATATTAATATTGTGGCTTTCCAAGTTAACATTGATTGATATGACTGCGATTAAATCAGCATATACTTCTGCCAGGGGATGCCACCCCTCAAAATCTCCTGCCACCCTCTTGCCACCCCATGAATAGTTGTCTAGATCCGCCCCTGGTTCTACCGCAAAGTTAGGCCCAATCCCAAACCACTCCCTCGACCCTACCCCTCCGTGGCGGAGTGAACTCCGTCTGTAGCCACACTCGCAGCTCAACGAGGCTCCCTCCTGTCAGATGGAGGGAGTAAATACAGCGGCAAGCTTTGGGACAAACTCCCCTCTCTCCGGCAGAAACAGGAAATGCCGTAACTGTATGTAACAACGGTTTCAAATCAGCATCTCTTAGACAAAAAATGTAAATTAAGAACTCAAATAAAACTCCAAACATCTTTCATTGTGTTACTTTTTTGTAAAGCTCTTTTAGTTTTAAACCTGATGTTTATAAGCTTCTTAGTTTTTGCAACAGTCTGTAAATATACACAACTTTATAATAAAATGCACACATTTACCTTTTTCTAGACTAAACACAGGTACGATCATAAGTTAAAAAAATATGAGGTTATCATGAGGTTGTTAACATCGCAATTTATCAGTGGATGTTTGCTGGAACTACTTGTAAACAGCGTGTTTCCTGACGGACACACACAGCGTGACTCCGGTCAGGTAGAGACCAGTCTCAAGTCTGCACCGATCCAGACTCGCTGTTTGAGGGCTTGATAGCCCACTCCCCCTCCACACCTCTCCACACTCGTTGGCTTGGAACAGCACTTAATGTGGCGGACCCTCCGGAGGGGTAGTGTGTAGGGGTAGGGTGTAGGGCGTGGTTTGGGATTGGGCCTTATTCTCCGTGGGGACTTCCGGAAACAATCTTGATTCTGATTGGCCAGAAGACTGAGAAGGGTCTAGCTGCGGCCGCGGCCAGTACACGACACTACACGACACGCCCACTACACGACACGCCCACCTGACACGACACTACGGTGGCTGAGAGACATTACCATACATGGCAGATTAAAAGCGAATTGACGACACTGACGCTGATGCAAGGATATTTAAAGAGACATGAGGTTCAGAGAACAGACAAACAATATGGCGCACCGAGTACAGGTAATTAACGTATTGTGGTTTTAGATATAATTACATACTATTTAGGTTCTCGTTTGTTTGTCGATGTGGCTGTTTAGCGCAGTGTAATTGTGTTTATTTAGCTAATTTGTATTTTAAATATTAAATGTAAAGGAATGGAATACATATAAATATATATATATCTTAGCTCTTAGCTTGACATGCTCGACGTTCAGTTAGCATATATGCTAACTGAACATGCTCGTTCAGTTAGCATGTCAAGCTAAGAGCTAAGATATATGTATATATTTTAGCTTGACAGATGGAACAATGCATGTACTCGCATTTTTACAAGAATCTGATTTTAAATATTCATTGAAGGTGTCTTTCACATTTGAATGTTTTAAAAAAAAAACATGTATTAGCTGCTATACTGACATGCACATATGTATAATTATATTATTATTTTAAGTGTGGTTTAAAGTTAAATGATATATAGTTATTGGGTAGAGCCAAGTAACCCAGGTGGATGCAATCAGGCCTCTGTTTTTAGATGGGGTTTGTGGCCATGCTGTAGGCCTGACATTTAAACCATAGACCGTATATATAAAGATTTAAACTAGCTGAAGGGCTTTCTGTTCGAACCACAGTGACATCTAGAGGTTGTTTTGTGCATAACATGTCAACCAAAAAGGTAGAGCTGGCTGAATCAGATGGAGTTAAACTTTTTTTTTTTTCAACAAGATATCAAGACACAAAATGTGCTCTACCAAATGGTGGCGCTGGCAGTTAAAGGGTTACCTTCTGAAAGTGAGGAAGTATGACCAGCTTTGTCCCATAGGATTATACAGGCCAGTCCATTGCTGCTTGTTTAAGGAGTTAACTATTTCCAATATTAAAGTCACTGAAATTGTATTCTATTTTATTCACCTATAGACAAACAACACAACACTCCGTGATGGAGCACGCCCAGAGCTCAACAAATTGGACTCGGACACCTTCCAGTGTCCATTTTGTGAAAGGACCGGGTCATACCCTGGTCTGATGGCTCATTTGCAGAGCCACCAGAGGGCACTTGTGAAATATGGAGGTAAGTACATCTATAATTCTATATGATCATTGTATACTTCATCACATTACATTACATGTTACTTGTTAGATGTGTTTAATGCCTCACACATTATGGATACATGTGTTATTTCTGTGCCCCAGGACATCCTTGGTGTAAATTCATTTTTAATTATAAATTGAACATTAAAAATTAGATTTATATTCAGGTTATGAAGTGTTAATAATGCTGGAAAAATATCCTTATTTGGGGTAGGCACAATATGAGCATAATCACACATTCAATCTGCAAAAAATCAGTTTATAGGCAAAAATATTATTGTTGGTGACATGATTATTTATTGCTCTCGCACAAACACCTTGTTTCAAATTGCATATTTACAAGAAATTCATGTTGGTTTGTTTCTAGAATCCTCTAAACTACTTTCTGTCTCTTTTTTTTAGGTTATAATGTTTATAAATGCCATCTCAAATGTGTGGCCAGCAGCCATTATCACTGTGGCTTTTGCCCAAGAATCATTGGGAGAAAGGAGATGTTTATTAGTCACTTTAAAAACTGCTGCACTGAACATCCAACTACGTTGGCGGCGGCCCCAGCAACCACAACGACTCCTCCAGTGATGGCCCCGACGGCCGCTCCAGTGATGGCCCCGACGGCCGCTCCAGTGATGGCCCCGACGGCCGCTCCAGTGATGGCCCCGACGGCCGCTCCAGTGATGGCCCAGACGGCCGCTCCAGT